TCTCTCTCTCTCTCTCTATATATATATATATATATATATATATATACACACATACATATATATATGTGTGTGTGTGTGTGTGTATTTATATTCAATAGGCTAAAGGGAAATATGGACATGGAGCTAAAGAAAATCAGAAGAGTAAGGCGTGAAACGAGGCAATCTCAATAAGATACATAAATTATAAAAGGGAACCAAGTGGACAATACAGAGCTGAAGAACAAAATAGCAGAAACGAAGAATTCAGCTGGGCATGGTGGCTCACACCTGTAATGCCAACACTTTGGGATGCTGACCCCAGGAGTTCAAGACCAGCCTGGGCAACATAGTGAGACCTTGTCTTTACAAAAAAAGTATTTTTCTTAATTAGCCAGGTGTGGTGGTGCATGCCTATAGTCCCAGCTACTTGGGAAGCTGAGGTAGGAAGATTGCTTGAGCCCAGGAAGCCAAGGCTGCAGTGAGTCACATTCATGCCACTGCACTGCAGCCTGGGCAACATAGTGAGACTGTCTCAAAAAAGAAAAGAAAGATGTGAAGAGTTCACTCAAGGGGTTCAGTGTCAGATTTGTGCACATAGAAGAAAGGATCAGGGAACCTGAAGACAAGGCGATTGGAATTATCCACTCTGAAGAGCAGAAAGAAAAATGATGCAGAAAAATGGAATAACCCAAGGGACCTGGGACACCATCAAGTGTACCAACATACACCTCGCGGGAGTCCCGAAAGGAGAAGAGAAATAAAAAAGGGAAGAAAAATTATTTGAAGGAATAGTATCCCCAAACTCCCCAAATTTGATTAAATAAATGAATCTACATATCCCAGAATCTCAACAAACTGCAAACCGGATAAACTCAGAGATCCACAGTGAGAAACACTGTTGTCAAACTGTCAGAAAAAAAACAAAGACAAAGAAAGCAGCAAGAGAGAAGCAACTGGTATCGTACAAAGGAGCCTCAATAAGATTTTTAGCAGATTTCTCATCAGAAGCCTTGGAGACCAGAAGGCAGTAGTATAAGTAAACTACACAAGAAAATATCAAATCAAGGATTATGATAGTTTTGGTTTGTAACTCCTGTTTTTTTCTATATGATTTGAAAGACCAATTCATAAAACAGTAATTATAAATCTGTGTTAATGGACATACAATATATAAAGATGTATCTGTGACCCCCAAATATCTGAGACAAGTGTGGGTCAATTCAGGAAGTTTATTTTGCCAAGGTTGAGGACGTGAGCCCATGACACAGCCTCATTAGGTCCTGATGCCACGTGCCCAAGGTGGTCTGGGCACAGCTTGGTTTTATACATTTTAAGGAGACATGAGACATCAATATATGTAACGTACATTGGTTCTGTCTGGAAAAGTGGGACAGCTCAAATTGGGGAGGGGGCTTCTGAGTCATGGATAGATAAGTGACAAACAGTTGCATGCTTTTGAGTTTCTGATTAGCCTTTCCAAAGGAAGAAATCAGATATGCATTTATTTCAGTGAGCAGACAGATGACTTTTTCTATCCTTTGTCCACAAAGAATTTTTCCACAAATTTGTGCACACAAATTTGTCCACCAGGAGCTGAGGCCAAAACGTTGGTCTCTTTTATTCACACCTGTGCCAGGACACCCCGATGGCCTCGGCGTCTGCACGTCTCCCCACCTGCCTGCCCTCCACAAGCTCACTCTCGCTGCTCTTCCGCGAGGCAGTCAGGGACCTGTTAGAGCCGGGCAACGCAAAGGCCCTGCCTCTGCAGTCTCTGTTCACACTTTACCTTGTCTGAGCCTCCCAGGGACCACCCTATTTTTGAAATTTTATATTTTATTTATCTATTGAAATAGGGTCTTGCTCTGTCACCCAGGCTGGAGTGCAGTGGTGCAATCATGGCTCACTGCAACCTCAATCTCCCAGGCTCAAACAATCCTCCTGCCTTGGCCTCCCAAAGTGCTGGGATTACAGGTGTGCAACACAGTGCCTGGCCTCACCCTATTTCATTTTAATTTTTAGTTTATTATTTTTGAGGTGGAGTCTCGTTCAGTTGCCCAGGCTGGAGTGCACTGGTGTGATCTCAGCTCACTGCAACCTCTGCCTTCCGGGTTCAAGCGATTCTCCTGCCTCAGCCTCCTGAGTAGCTGGGATTACAGGTGCCCACCACAATGCCTGGTTAATTTTTGTAGTTTTAGTAGAGATGGGGTTTCCCCATGTTGGCCAGGCTGGTCTCAAACTCCTGACCTCAAGTGATCCACCTGCCTCAGTCTCCCAAAGTGCTGAGATTACAGGCAGGAGTCACCACGCCCAGCCCCACCCTATTTTAGATTGCAGCTCCCCACACTCCCAATCGCTCTCCCAGCCTCATTCTTTACCCCACACTGGCACCAGCCATGCCCCCTTGTTTTCGTATGCCACCTGGCTCTGGTTGTCTCTCCCATGCAAAGGTCAGCTCCATGATCCCAGTTTGCCCGGTACTGACCTGGTGTCAGCACTGACATTCTGACCCAAGACCCTCCTTAGTGCCAGGCAGCCCCAGACTTGGTCCCCCAGCTGCAGGGCCCGGGATCTTTGCCAATGTTGTTTGTTCCCAGTGCTGGGTCGGTGCCCAGGGTCCCGGGCCTGCTCAGCTGTGCGTGATGAGTGAATGAGGAAGGCGGGTGTCCAAGGCTCACCGGTGTTAACACTGTGGCCCAGATGTGAGCAGGGCTGTGCGCCCTCGTGCAGCTGCTCCTGCCCGCCCCTACTGCACCCCCCATTTCTGGGGCCCAGGGTGCTCAGCACTTTTCTCCTGGCAGGTGTGGGGGTGGGTTTCCAGCGGTGGTGGTGGAGGGAGGGCAGCGACCCTGGCCGAGGAGGCGGTGAGTGCACTGGGCTGTGGGCGCTCCGTGTTGGGTGCTGGGGCGCCTGACCCGGCTCAGCACCGGCACTGAGAGCCACTGCCGCCTGGTGGCAGCATGCGTGTATCCTCCAGCAGGTGCCTCCCTTGTCTGGGAGGGACAGTAAGACAGCTGAGATCTGAACACAGCCTCTTAAGAGTCCCAGAAGACTCAGTTTCCCCCATCTGTGGAAGGCTTGAGGGAGCCCACACCCAGTCAGGCAGGAGCTCAGCTCCATGACCCTGCTCTGGCAAATCCTCCCTAGCTCCACCTCCACACTGGCCAGGATTCCCGGAGTAGCCCCGGGTCAGAGCAGGGGTCTTTGTGCACCACAGGGAGCACCCCTGGCTGGTCCAGGAGGTAGGAGCAGGAACATGGGGTGGGGGCTGCCCTGCTGAGCTGGGGGACACTGGTCTTCTGGCTGGGGGTGGACAGGGGTATCCAGAGGAGACACGGAGACAGCAGAGTGGCAGCCTGTGCTGAGCCCCCCGTCCCCACTGTGCCCCTGACCTCCTCCACGTTAGGGAGGGGCACCTGGGCAAGTGGAAGCCTGCATCTCCCCATGCCCCCGATGTCCAGGTTAGGGAGGGGCACCCTCTCCATGCCCCCACTGGCCTCCCTGCCCCTTGTGCCCAAACCCAGCTTCTCAAGCCCCTCACCTGGCCTGACCTCTGCATCCCCAGGGTGTCCCCACCACTGCTCCTTTATGGGGACACTTGGATGAGGATGTCTGGTCACACCATGTGACACTGACCTTAGCTGACTCCAAATCCACTCCCAGAGACCCTGGCCCTCCCCTGAGTCCCAAGGTGCTCCCTGCCCCCGACATGCCCAATGGGGTGTGGCCTCCCACGCCTTTGGGGTACTCTTGGGTCCAGCCTCGTGGGGATGGCTCCACGACGCCCACGGTCCAGACTTGTCCCTGATGCCGTCACCATCCAGCCAGGCCCAAGCTCCATTTTAACAGCTACCCCTGGACCAGCGTTTACTGAGTGGAGGGGACTTGCTCGCTCTGCAGTCCCCTCTCCAGTCTGTGGGGCAGAGCAGCCTCCATTGCAAGAAGGAAAAGAAGGCCCAGGGCCCATGGCCAGCTGGAAGAGGGCAGCCTGGGCCTAGACTGCGGTGGGAGTGCATCTGCAGATGGGGTGCGACCACCGCCAGGACAGGCCGGGCACGCAGCCCTGCACAGCACTCAGGTGAGACGTCCAGGCTCCAGAGGGTGGCTCAGCGGGGAAGCCAGGGAGCCTACGTGACCCACATGAGAGGTCTTCGAGGGCCGACCCCACGGCCCACTGCACAGGCCACTGCTAGGGACCCCTGGCTGGGGTCTGGATGTGCCACTTGGAACGTCTCAGAACCACACATCCCAGCAGGTGGCCCCCAGGCATGTGGCCTCTGAGACCACAGGAAGTGACTGACCCTTGCTGGGTGAGTGGAGCTGGGATCTAGGGAAGCTGAGACCCTCTGGAGGAGTCCCAGTGGGACGGGTGCCCCAGTGAAGCTCAGCACCCAAGGATGCACAGACAGGGGAGGTGGACTCCAGCCAGTGTGGGGTGCCCTGGGCAGAAACAGGTGATCCTTGACCACCTCGGGCTTGGTCAGCTACAGGAAGGGTAGGGTTGCACCCTGCACCCCAGAGCACTGGGGAAGCTCTGGGCAGCTGCCAGGGCCTTGTCTTCAGGGCCAGGGACAGTGGCCATGACCATGAATTGTCTGAGAGGGAGGCTGGGGTCCAGCACCTGGGCCATTCAGGGAAGGGGTAGCCCACCCGGCTCCTGCTATTCCCAGGGGACTCAGGATAGGGCTGAAGGTCTTTTTTGTGACCCAGAGCCCCTGAGGGCCCCATGGAGCTGTAGCCCTAGGAGAGCCAGCAGGTGCCTGGGTCCCACAGTCAGGTGAGACCACCCCATACTCTGAGGGGGGCCTGGCTCAGCTGTCCGAGGCTGTGCCTTGGCCTCCTGCCCCCCCCAGCAATGTGTCCCTGGCACCTACTTGTTCTTGAGGAGATTCCTGGCCTCAGGCTGCCATCCCATGGGGGTGGGTGCAACTGGAGAGAGATGTGGAGGTGGTACTGGCTGGGGCACCCCCTCCCAGCCCTGCCCCCACTGTACGAGGCTGAGACAATGTGAGGGAAGGGGAGGGGGCTGCCCAGTTCTGGGGGTCAGTGGCTGTGGACAGCAGCCTCCTGTCTCCAGGGAGGCTCAGCAGACAAGTGAAGGAGGAGCCCACCCTGGCCCCAAAAGCAGTGTGTGTTACCCCAAGATCCCCCCACCTGAGCCAGGCCCAGTCCTCCTGCTGCCTCCAGGCCTGTCCCTGGGGCCATGGACTTGCCCAGCATAGCATGGACACTCCACAGTGGCAGGTGCCAGCCCCAGGGACACCTGACCAGCAGGTGTCCTTTGCCCCTTTCGTCTGTGAGCTGCTGGAGGTGACCTTTGCTGGGGAGGGGGACCCAGGCTTGGCCAAAAAGTATTGCTGGGAGAAGGGGGAGCTGAAGGTCTGTGGGTCCTGCCATGGCCCTGGGCATGTCCTGTGGGCAGCAGGCTGGAGGCTGCCCTGAAATGGCTGTGGCTCGGCTGAGCTGAGGAGACATTCCAGAGACCCCTGCCTGGCCCACTGGTGCTCCCTGGAAAGGGTCTCCAGAGGCCCTGGGTGCCTGGCTGTCCTGTCCACCCCCTCCCAGCCCTCCCACCTCTCCCAGTGGCTCTTGCGATTCACCCCACCTGAAGCTAGGCAAGCTCTTGAGCTCACAGGGAGGGTGCAGGTGGGAGTGCTAGCTCTGACCCTTCCTGGACTCCAAGGCAGAGCCACGCTCCTGACCACACCCCGGACACACGTGCTTAGTTCTGTCCACTGGGCAGAGACCTGTCCTGATGTACCCTGGGTCCTGGGAGCCTGGGCCTCAGTGGCTCGTTGGCAAAGGGACATCCCAAGTCACTGGTGGTTGGAACCAGAGCTCCGATCAGGGAAGGTGGACCCCCAGGGAGGAGGAGGCAAGGCCAGTGACAGAGTGAGACCAGGGAGGGTGTGCAGGAGGCCCAGCGGTATGTGGTGGAGGGAACTGCGAGGCTGGAGGGCAGTGGTGGGCACAGGCCTGGGTTTGGCACGGAAGCCTGACCTGTCTCAGGGCTGGGTGGTCTCCCCGTCTCCCCCACCCAGTCTTCTGTTCAGTGCACGCCATACCCAGCCCACTGTGGGAGGCTGGGAGTGCCTGGGTCTGGTCCTTAGCCTCCTGTGGCCCCTGAGAGCTGGGCACCCGCTGGAGCGGAGGTTGCAGAGCTGCTGGGGGACGGAGAAGTGTACATCGGTCCTCCAGCCCTGCAGGCATAAGGCAGCTACGTCAACACAGCCTCCTGCTTCCCCCGAGGATGGGGATGGGAAGGTGGGGTGTGAACTGAGCTCCATCAACACGGCCTCCTGCTTCCCCCGAGGATGATGGGAAGGGGGGGTGTGAACTGAGCTCCATCAACACGGCCTCCTGCTTCCCCCGAGGATGATGGGAAGGGGGGGTGTGAACTGAGCTCTGTCAACACGGCCTCCTGCTTCCCCCGAGGATGATGGGAAGGGGAGGTGTGAACTGAGCTCTGTCAACACAACCTCCTGCTTCCCCCAAGGATGGGGATGGGAAGTGGGGGGTGTGAACTGAGGTCCTGCAGTGGAGGAGATGGGTAGGGGCTGGGCACAGCAGCAACACCCACCTGGATGCAGATGCCTGGGGCACAGGCCTCCTCCCTGGGAAGGTCCAGGAAGGCAAAGGCAGGGGCGGCTGCGGGGTCACCCTGGGATGGGGGAGGGCAGGTCACAGGCAGTGGGAGGAAGGGCAGATCAGGCTAAACCCTGTCCTTCTCCCACATCCTCTCAGCACAAAGCAGGGCTGGCCCCCTACCCCTCCCTGCCAGGTAGACTAGACCCTGGGTGGGCTCAGGGCCCAGGTGGGGCAGAGACCACTACAGGGAAGTGATGAGGTCCTGCCGTCCCCCGCCCACTTCCCCAGGATGGAGCCCCTCTCCCGGCTCACTGAGGCTGGAGGGAGTAGGCTGGCCTGGAGCGCAGGTTGGCAGGCAGGGAGCTGTGACTTCCTCCTGTGACACAGGTGCACCTGGAAGTGGGCGGGGCTGGACGAGAAGAAGGTGGCCCGGAGGTGGCCCTTCATGGGCGAAGGGTGGATGGTCATTTTCCAGGCTGTGGGGCGTGAAGGGTGAGACTCCCCTCTGGCCCAGCACCCCACCGCCTCCCTTCCTTCCCCAGAGGGCCCGGTGCCTGCCCACTGTACCTGCCCCAACCCACCGGGTCCCCCACTGGCCCAGCACCATTATCCCACCTCCCCGACCAACACAGAGTGACATAAAGGATGTTCTGTGCTGCATCCACGCTGTGCAGGCCCCATGGAGAACTTACTTGGGAAGCGACGCTGTTCAAAAGGGCACCGCACCCAGGACCCCCAACTGGTGGAGAACTGCAAAGTGGGGTGAGGGGTGCAGGAGGGTGGAGTGTGTGCAGGGCAGGGACAGGGCAGGGACAGAGACAGGCTGGGTCAGCTTCAGGGTGCTCTGGCCCAGTTCCCCTCCTTAGGCCCTTAGCTCACCCACTGTCAGACCAGAAGGGGGCTCTGAGGGACGGCTGGGAGGCTGGGCTCCAGCCTCCACTTCCTGTCCTGATGCCCCCTGGCCCCTCCCCAAATAGGGCACTGGCAGGCTGTGGCAGCCCCTCACCTTCAGGCAGAGCTGGGGTTGGGTGTCCACCAGCGGATACTGCACCTGAGGAGGGCTCGGGTCAGGCTGTGGCATCCATGCCCACCCCCATCCCTGCTGAGCAGGCACTCACTCTGCGATGCACCAGCTGGCTGGATTGCTGCAGCTTACGACAGCTGGCCCTGGGCCCCGGGCGCCAGCACAGGCTCACATGGCCACTCACAGGGCAGGTGGGCTCCCAGCTCAGTGTCTGGCTCCCCGGCTGGTAGTAGACCGTGTCCCACAGCACCTCCAGTGCCTCAGTGTCTGCAGGAACCCTCCCCCAAACACAGGTCAGTTGGCTCCTACCCTTGCTGCCAGGCCCATGGGGTCTAGCACTCACTCAAGTGACCACTGGGCCGGGGTCCAGAGCAGTCCTCCTATGGGTTGCTAAGCCCTGTCCCAAGTCTGTGCATGTGTGTGCATGGGTGTGTGCGCCTAGGTGTGTGCCTGTGCATGGGTGCGTGTCCATGGGCATGTGTGTGCCTGCCTGTGCATGGGTGTATTCGTGTGTGTGTGTGTGTGCACGTGTATGGGTGTGTATGTGCATGGGTGCGTGTCATGGTGTGGGTGTGCACGTGCATGGGTGTGCCTGCCTGTGCGTGTGCATGTGTGTGTGCATGTGTGTGGGCATGCATGTGCATGGGTGCGTGTGCATGTGTGTGTGCAACGTCGCTGAGCAGAACCGAGAGCAGGGCATCTCTCTTTTATTTTTTTCAGACGGAGTCTCACTCTGTCCCCCAGGCTGGAGTGCAGTGGCGTGATCTCAGCTCACTTGCAAGCTCCGCCTCCCGGGTTCACGCCATTCTCCTGCCTCAGCCTCCCGAGTAGCTGGGACTACAGGCGCCCCCCACCACGCCCGGCTAATTTTTTGTATTTTTAGTAGAGACAGGGTTTCATCGTGTTAGCCAGGATGGTCTTGATATCCTGACCTCGTGATCCACCCGCCTCAGCCTCCCAAAGTGCTGGGATTACAGGCGTGAGCCACCGCGCACGGCCTAGGCATCTCTCTTGTGCCCCTCAGACAGCCTCTCTTGACAGCCTTGATTTTCCCAGGTGAGCTGGGCCACGTGAGCACACACACACACACGTGCACATCCACATCTGTGCACAGGTTCCCTTGGTGACAGGCCCAGGGATTTAGGCCCCTTATCTCATCCCCCCACGTCAGTCTTCATGGTGGGATCAGCCTGGCCGCAGCCATTCCCACCCTCCCGCCCCTTGGCATCGCAGGACACTTGCCATTTTCAAAGGGGCAGATCTGGATCCGCACCGCGTCAGGGGTCGCAGACCAGCCCTGTGGGAGGGATTGGGGTCAGCGCAGCCCGCCCACCCCTGTGTTCCCCCACCCGCCCCAAGTCCAGGCCACACCTCCAGGCACAGGCACGGCAGCTCCTGGCTGTAGGGCAGGGAGACGACCCGGGAGACGTTGTTGGCGGTCACCTGCAACCCAGAAAGGGTGGTTGAGGGGCTGCGCGGGAGGGCGGGGGTGGTCTGAGGTGGGCGGGGCCTGGGCCTGACCGGCGCGGGGACGGAGGGGGCGGGGCCTAGGCCTGACCGAGGGGGGGACGGGAGGTGGGCGGGGCCTAGACCTGACCGGGGCGGGGACGGAGGGGGCGGGGCCTAGGCCTGACCGGGGCGGGGACTGAGGGGGCGGGGCCTAGGCCGGACCGGGGCGGGGACGGGAGGTGGGCGGGGCCTAGGCCTGACCAGGCGCGGGACGCGGAGGTGGGCGGGGCCTAAGGTTGACCAGGGCGCGGGGCGCGGGCGCTCACTTGCACCGGGGCGCCCACGTCCTCGCAGGTGAACCGCTTGTGGCAGAGCCGCACGTAGTAGTCGGGGATCCCAGAGGCCCTGGGCACCTGCACCAGAATCGCCTTGCGCCTCCGGTCCACCCAGTAGCTGAGCTTCCCGGCTGCAGGAGGCCGCAAGTCGGGGCCGCGCTGGGACCAGGGGTCACCGACACGGGGCTCTGTCCCGAGAGCCCCGACGTGGCGGCTCCTGTTTGGTTCAGGCGTTTGGCAGCCGCCCACCCGAGGGCCCCTCAGAATTTCCCAAACGGTGCAGAAGACCCCGGGGAGAGGAAGCCTGTCGCAGCGTCTAGGGGTCTTCGCCAGGGCGTCGAAGGAGGGAACTCACCGAGGCAGTCGGGCACGTTCCTCCCCACGTCCTCCTCTCCGCAGTCTGCAAAGCGCAGAGGCAATGGCGGGGTGCGGGCTGCCCTGCCCTGGGGGCAATCCTCCTCCACCCGCCCCCTCCGCCCCCCTACCCCCACCCCGCGCTGTGCCTCCGCCATGCGACCTCGAATTAAGCCAAAGGCCTTGCGGGGATCTGTCTAGTGTGAGGGCCGGGCCCCTGCCCTGGGAAGTCCCACCCCAAGCCAGGCCCTGGAAGCTGAACGGCAGCTGTGCCCAGGGGGGCCCTGGAGACCCTACCTTCCACGAGGTGCCTCTGATCCAGCTGGACCCCGCAGAAATGAGGGATGGTCCTCAGGGTGACATAGAGGTGCTGGGCCACGCTCACCGCAAAGCAGCCAAAGTACACCTGGAGCTGAGCAGGTGCAGGTGTGAGCTGCATGGACTCAGAGGCACTGCCCTCCCCAGCCGGCCAGCTCCATTTGCATGGCTGGAGCTCAGAGCGAGGGATGGCGGCCAGGAGGAGCAGTGCCCAGTCTTCGGGACGTGGGTGGCAGAGCCCTGCCCTGGCCTCACCTGCTGCCCCACCTGTTGCTGGTGGGAGGCCCTGGCCACCCACACGCTCTGACACTGCGTCTCCTGGGTGTCCAGGCTCACGGTGCAGGCCTCCAGGCCCTGCAGGTGCTCTGGGTGGAGGAAGGGCCCAGCAGGACACGTCAGAGTAGGGCTGCCCCTGGCTCCAGACGGGGCCGTGGGACCCTGTTCCTCTGCCTTCTCTCTGTGAAGTGCGGTTAGCAGCGCCCCACTCCCTCACCAGGCTGCCCAGGGTTTGATGGGAATAAAAGGCACCTGGGCCCACTGCTGGACCTGTGGGTGTTACTCCCACCCTCGAGGCCACCTCTCACCATGCAGGGTGATGGAGGCGCGTACACGCAGGAACAATGAGCAGCCGTCAGAGGGGATACATTGCATGGCAGTGTAGGACGTCAGGGCCTCCAGGACTGACCCGGACATGGACACAGGGCGTGGCCGGCAGAAGCTGTTAAAAATGTTCCCTGGGGAGGGAGAAGGAGTGTGAGGCCTCGAGTTCCCTGGTGCTTGGAAAGGCTTTGTGGTTGGTTCTGTGAAGGGCGAGAGCCCTGGGACTGCACAGTCTTCGCTGGGGGGTCTTTACTATCTTGCCCCAAGCCAAGTGGGGAGCAAGCCCTCTGGTATGCAGTGAGCCCCGAGACACTCAAATGTCTGTGGGACCCCAGCAGTGGGCCCAGGTCAGTGGGGCAGGCTGCACACCAGTCTGCATCAGAGCAGCAGAAGCTGCTGCCCCACCTGGCCAGCAAGGGGGCAGGGAGCCCACCTTGACTTGCTGGCAAGCTCTGTCGCCTCTGCTCAAAGACGAACAGCAGAAAGGCCAACACGGGCTTGCTGGGACACCTGGGAGGCAACCACAAGGTTGCTGCAGCCCAGACCTCTGTCCACAGGGAAGTGGTCACATCCTTGCAGGGAGGGTTTGCCCCCAGGGCCTTTTGCTCTGAGACCAAACACCATTCCAGGCAGCCGCATCAGACCTGCGCAACGGGGAGCAGGGGTATCATTTTGGGCACCAGGGGCTCAGCAATTTTGCTGCCTTTGCTCAGCCAGGTTTGCAGATGGGACTCAGAGCAGAACTTCACGTGAGCCACAGAGCCAGGCAACCCGGCATTCCACAGGAGGACTGCCACCCTCTTTACAGAAGGCCTGCCCACCGAGGCATGGGACCTCATGCTGTTGGTGAGACAGTGCAGCTGCTGCTCAGTGGAGCCTACACCGAACACAGCACTCTGCTGAGGCAGGAGAGGAAGGAATGAGAGTAACCAGGAACGAAGGGATAAGCAAAAGAACAGCAGGTGCAGCCAGTTGCAGGCAAGATTAGGCAGCACACAGGCCACAGCCTCCCTCCTGTGATAATGAGACTCCACTTCAGCCTCTGATTGTTGCAGACTCATCCTCCACAGGGTGTAACCCACTGGAAACCTCCAAAGGGCAGCTAGGGGTGTTACCAAATTCTTTTAGCTTTATGAAAACCCTGGGGCGCATGGCAATCGGGGTCCTTGGCCGCTTGCTTGAGCCTGCTCCCACTCTGGAGTGCTCTTTCTCTTCAGTAAATCTGTGCCCTCCTTACTCCATTCTTTTTTGTTGCTTTACTTGTGTGTTTTGTTCAGTTCTTTGTTTAACACGGCAAGAACCTAGACAACTGACAGCTGAGACCTTCCACCCAGTAACTCTGTGCCTCAAAGGGGCAATGGGAACGAAGAGGTCCGAACATACTATGGGTAAGAAATCCAACTCTTTCTCCTTTTTTTTTTCCCGAGATGAAGTTCCGCTCTGACGCCCGCGTTGGAGCACAGTGGCGTGATCTCAGCTCACTGCAACCTCTGCCTCCTGGGTTCAAGCAATTTTCCTGCCTCAGCCTACCGAGTAGCTGGGATTATAGGCATGCACCACCACGCCCGGCTAATTTTTATATTTTTATTTTTATTTTTTATTTTATTTTATTTTATTTTTTTGAGACGGAGTCTCGCTCTGTCGCCCGGGCTGGAGTGCAGTGGCCAGATCTCAGCTCACTGCAAGCTCCGCCTCCCGGGTTTATGCCATTCTCCTGCCTCAGCCTCCCGAGTAGCTGGGACTACAGGCGCCCACCACCTCGCCCGGCTAGTTTTTTTGTATTTTTTAGTAGAGACGGGGTTTCACCGTGTTAGCCAGGATGGTCTCGATCTCTTGACCTCGTGATCCGCCCGTCTCGGCCTCCCAAAGTGCTGGGATTACAGGCTTGAGCCACCGCGCCCGGCCAATTTTTGTATTTTTAGTAGAGACAGGGTTTCACTATGCTGGCCAGGCTGGTCTCAAAGTCCTGACTCAGGTGATCCGCCTGCCTCGGCCTCCCAAAGTGCTGGGATTACAGGTGTGAGCCACCACGCCCAGCCAGAAATGCAACTCTTACAATTTCCCACTGCAGTCCAGAGAGACTCACAGCAATCTGGTTTACCCTCCTGCCTGAGATAGCGGGAAACCAAGGCAAAATCCATGAGCAATGGTTTCAAGACAGTGGGCGTGAGGAAGTCAGGGCCGGTGAGTCCTGGGAGACAGGAAACAGTCACAGTGAGCTCTGGGAATGTGCCACTGTCTGGGAAGTGTTTCCAGGCAGTGGTGGGGGTGAAGTCCCAAGTGGAGCTTGGCACACTCCCTGAGAGGAGGAACTGGGATGGAGGGTCTGGGCAGCCAGGGCCTTCAGGACCAAGTATGAGAGGGGAGAGGATAATGCAGAGAGAGAACTCTGGGGAGCATCCACTTTGCTAATACTCAGTGGAGTATTCATGAACACACGCATGTGAGGGAACACCCAGAGGTGGAGAAAGAACCACCCCAGGGAATTTGAGGGAGTGGCCGGGCGGGGCTCACACCTGCAATCCCAGCACTTTGGGAGGCCGAGGCAGGCGGATCACCTGACGTCAGGAGTTTGAGACCAGCCTTGGCAACATGGTGAAACCCCGTCTCTACTAAAAATACAAAAATTAGCCGGGTGTGGTGGCGGGCACCTGTAATCCCAGCTACTCAGTAGGCTGAGGCTGAAGAATCACTTGAACTCAGGAGGCAGAGGTTGCAGTGAGCCGAGATCGCGTCACTGTACTCCAGCCTGGTGACAGAGCGAGACTCCATCTAAAAAAAAAAAAAAAAAAAAAAAAAAAAAAAAGGCTGGGCACGGTGGCTCACGCCTGTAATCCCAGCACTTTGAGAGGCCACTGCACCCAATCAACAAAATTTTAAAAACCACTTATGATTATCTCAATAGTCACAGAAAATTTTTTTGACGAAGTTCACCATCCATTCCTGATTTAAATAAAAATCTTAGTAAACAGGGAATGAAATTTCCTTAAACTGATAAAGACAATCTGTGAAAAACCTATATCTAACATCACATTTCATAGTGAAAGAATAGATTATTTCCCTGCCCCCCAGATCAAAAACAAGACAAGGATCCCTGCTCTTCTCACTTCGACTCAATACTGCAGGGGGGACCCTACTCCATGCAATGGGTCAGGAAAAGAAATAGGCTTCTTGCTTGGAAATGAAGAAGTAAAGTTGTGTTCTTTTGTAGATGACATGATTGCCTCTGTAGAAAACGCTAGTATCTACAAAAAAGGCACTGAAACTAATAAATAAGTTTAGCAAAGTCACAGGATACAAGATCAGTATACAAAAATCCACTATTTCTTTTTTGTTTTTCTGTTTTGTGTTTTGTGTTTTTTTGTTTTTGTTTTTGTTTTGTTTTTGAGACGGAGTCTCGCTCTGTCGCCCAGGCTGGAGTGCAGTGGCGCGATCTCCACTCACTGCAAGCTCCGCCTCCCGGGTTCACGCCATTCTCCTGCCTCAGCCTTCCGAGTAGATGGGACTACAGGTGCCCATCACCACGCCTGGCTAATTTTTTTGTATTTTTAGTAGAGACAGGGTTTCACCGTGTTAGCCAGGATGGTCTCGATCTCCTGACCTCGTGATCCACCCGTCTCGGCCTCCCAAAGTGCTGGGATTACAGGTGTGAGCCACCATGCCCGGCCATGTTTTGTGTTTTTTTGAGACAGGGCCTCACTCTGTCGCCCAGGCTGGAATGCAGTGGTGCGATCTCGCCTCACTGCAACCTCTGCTTCCCAGGTTCAAGTGATTCTCGTGTCTCAGCCTCCCGAGTAGCTAGGACTACAGATGCGTACCACCACACCCAACTAATTTTTTAATTTGTAGTGGAGACGGGATTTCGCCATGTTGGCCAGACTGGTCTTGAACTCCTGACCTCAAGTGATCCACTTGCCTCAGCCTCCCAAACACTGTATTTCTATATACTAGCAAAGAATAACTATAAATTGAAAATTTAGAAATAAAATAAAGCCGGATGGTTTGGGGATAAAAAGCCAGGCTGTGCTGGGGAGCGGGGCGGGGAGTGAGGGGAGTGAGGAGAGCTTCGTCCCCAAGGCTGGTGTTTCCTTCCCTTGGCGGATCTTCCCTGGGCTTGGTATGCAGCAATCTTCAGAGAAACGACTGTGCCTTAGAACTCAGTGTCTATGCTGTCATCCGTGTATGTTCGGCCAACAACTCCCCTTTAATGCCAGCACTTTGGGAGGCCGAGGCAGGCAGATCACCAGAGGTCAGGGGTTCGAGACCAGCCTGACCAACATGGCGAAACCCTGTCTCTACTAAAAATACAAAAATTTGCTGGGGATGGTGGTACGCACCTGTAGTCCTAGCTACTCAGGAGGCTGAGGTAGGAGAGGAAGGGAGGCAGAGGTTGCAGTGAGCAGAGAGCACACCACAGCACTCCAGCCTGGGTGACAGAGTGAGACTCCATCTCAAAAAAAAAAACAACCTACTTTATGCAAGAAATGAGAAATCTGCATCTTTTGACCCTTTCCAGAAAAAAGACAAAGGCTTATTCCAGACAACCAAGAAAGGAATCAAAACCAGAAAGTTAAAAAAAAAAAAAAATGGTAAAGTCACAGAGGAGAAGGACTCACGGTGAGCATGGAAAATGAGGACATGTACAGAGTTAGTGAAACGGGTGCAGGAGGAGAAGCTGCTCCTTGAAAAATAAAATGTACAAAAATAAGAACAGGCTCTTGTCCCAACTAAGCTGACAAAATGAAGAGGAGGCTGTGTGGAAGGAAGGGTGAGTAAAGCAGAAACACACAAGATTAGTGTGGTACAAAACAGAATTCATTGTTACTGTGTGGAAAAAGCTGTGAAACTACAATTCATCATAAACCCTCAGAAATAAATGTTTTGCCTCATCCAAAATAAGGCACATAAATAACACCCAGAGACTTACCAAAAGAGTGCCTGATAGATGTGCTTCCTCCAGGAAGGAGAACGGAGCTCAACAGGAACAAATCGGTTACGGAAAGGACCGGCGAGCGCGGAGAATGGGAAACACAGTGGGGAATTGGGAATTCAAACTGCTGTTGACAGAGGAGGAGGCTGAGGACAACTGTGTGTGTTTAAAAACACCTGGGCCGGGTATGGTGGCTCACGTCTGTAATCCCAGCACTTTGGGAGGTCGAGGCAGGCGGATCACTTCAGGTCAGGAGTTTGAGACCAGCCTGGCCAACATGGTGAAACCCCATGTCTACTAAAAATACAGTGATTAGCTGGGCACGGTGGTGCTGGGAGCCTGTAATCCCAGCTACTGGAGAGGCTGACGCAGGAGAATCCCTTGAACCCGGGAGGCGGAGGTTGCAATAAGCCGAGATTGCGCCACTGCACTCCAGCCCGGGCAACAAAGCAAGACCTTGTTCCCCACACCCCTCCAAAAATAATAATAATAAAAAAAAATAGCAAAAATAAAAATTAAAACACGCTGGGACTACACTTCCCTAATGTGGGAGACCAGGCCATTTACACCAACTCAACTGCTGAAAAGTACTAATTAGGCTGGAGAAAAAACATACTTTTTAAAAAAACTTCCTAGAAACGTATGAGAGCTGCGAAACGCATCAGGATGGGGGGCTGAGGCAAGCAGGGCGTAGGAGGTTGCTTTACAGGGATGGGGGATGGAGGGAGGGTTTCTAACCCAGTGGGAGCTGAGGGCTTTGTGGGGAGGCCCCAGCACATGGTGAGGGAGAACTTCCCCAGGTTGAGCTGGGCCTTGACCTGGGTTAGCGAGAATTGCACTGATCCTCTCCCCAAAGCCCAGAGTCGCTGAGTGGAGTAGCGGGGAGTAGAAAGTTCCAGAGTCGCTGAGTGGAGTAGCGGGGAGTAGAACGCTCCCCAAAAGCCCAAAACCGAGTACAGATTCACAGCCCAGGCTGGGCCCACCAGGAAGACCCATGAAACCTCAATCTGTGAATCTGGTTTAAACGGCCCGGCCCGGCAGTCAGGCACTGCTCCTGGCACCACCCAGCAACAATGGGAATCCAACCCCCGGGAGGCCCTCCATCCTGGGACTTTGAGCCACTGAAGGTAAACAAGCACTCCAGGAAGCAGAGAGCCCGGAGTGACGCTGCAGAGAGGGTGGGCCCACGGTGTCCTCCAGTGACCAGCCACAGGCCAAGCAGGAGAAAAAACAAGCTTGAAAATACAGGCAGTGGGAAAGGCTGTGACGAAGGACCGGGCACACTTGAGAGAAACGGAATTCCTAGAAACAAAACCACCGCGACAGAATTAAAATGCAATGGGTGATTTTTAAGAGCAGATTGGGGCCGGGCGCGGTACCTCATGCCTGTAATCCCAGCACTTTGGGAGGCCGAGGTGGGCGGAACACAAGGTCAAGAGATCGAGACCAGACTGGCCAACATGGTGAAACTCCGTCTCTACTAAAAATACAAAAAAAGTTAGCCAGGCATGTTGGCACATGTCTGTAATCCCAGTTACTCAGGAGGCTGAGGCAGGAGAATTGCTTGAACCTGGGAGGCAGAGGTTGCGGTGAGCCCAGATTGCACCACTGCACTTCAGCATGGGCAACAGAGCGAGACTCTGTCTCAAAAAAAGAAAAAAAAAAAAAGGTAGGGGAGGTTAAAGTAAAAAACCTATATGATAATTTTCATAGATGCAAACATTTTTCATAAAATTCAATACCTATTCATGATAAAAGAATGCTTAGCAAGCTAGGAAAAGAAAGGTACCTCTTTGTCTAGATCAGGGACATCTAGTGCAAACATCCAATAAACTTAACACTGAGCAGTAAACCTTCGGAATCATTACCATTAATATACCATTAATATCAAGACTCAGACAGGAATTTCCTCTTTCAACATTGCCCTTCAGATCTGAACCAATTCCACAAGATCCGCACCCTCCACCCAATGCATAGGTTTACAAGCTGTCATTAGCTACAGAATATGTGATCAGCTATTAAAAAAAGGAGACTCAATAGGAAATCTATTAGAAATACTAAACAGGATTATATTTTTTTACTTATTTATGTTTTTTTGAGGCAGAGTCTCACTCTATCGCCCAGGCTGGAGTGCAGTGGCACAATCTCGGCTCACTGCAACCTCTGCCTCCTGGGTTCAAGTGATTCTCTTGCCTCAGCCTCCCAGATTGCTGGGATTACAGGCAAGTGCTACCATGCTCGGCTTTTTTTGTTTTGTTTTGTTTTGTTTGTTTTGGTTTTTTTTTGAGATGGAGTCTCACTCTGTCGCCCAGGCTGGAGTGCAGTGGCACAATCTCGGCTCACTGCAAGCTCCGCCTCCCAGGTTCACGCCATTCTCCTGCCTCAGCCTCCCGAGTAGCTGAGACTACAGGCGCCAACCACCATGCCCGGCTAATTTTTTTTGTATTTTTAGTAGAGACGGGGTTTCACCATGTTAGCCAGGATGGTCTCTATCTCTTGACCTCGTGATCCACCCACCTCGGCCTCCCAAAGTGCTGGAATTACAGGCGTAAGCCACCGTGCCCGGCCTTTTTTTTGTATTCTTAGTAGAGACAGGGTTTCACCATGTTGGCCAGGCTGGTCTCGAACTCCTGACGTCAGGTGACCCGCCCGCCTCGGCCTCCCACAGTGCTGGGATTACAGGTGTGATCACCGTGTTGGCCATGCTTTGCGTTTGTTGTTTGTTTGTTAATATCGTCCACTTTGTGAATTCGCATTTCATCCTTGCGCTGGGACCAGGCTGGTCTAATCTCCTCCCCTAAACTTAGAGGTCCTTGAGGCAAAGAAACATTTAATTAAAGTTTAGCCATCTGTTTTTCTGTTAAATTCAAGTAAAAATAAATAAAATACTTTAAATGACATAAGGTAATTTCATTTCTATAAAATAATTTTTATCTGTTTATCCTGCAAATATCTGTATATTTGGCTACACAAATGTCTAGAACAGGCCAGGCACGGTGGCTCATGCCCATAATCCCAGCACTTTGGGAGACTGAGGCAGGAGGATCGCTTGAGCCCAGGAATTTGAGAATAGCCTGGGTTTGGTTGACCAACCAAAGATAGAAAGACCTCATGTCTATTCTTACAAAAATAAAAAATAATAATAATAAAAAAAACCCCAAAATGTCCAGAGCAATGTTGGTCTAGGTAAGTACTGTTTATTTCTGCATGGAGGCTTTTCATTGAGCTTTAACTTTCTTCCTTATAGCGTCTGCATCACTCAGAGCCCTTTTATAAATAGATACGCTGTTTACAAAGAAAATCAAGGTAGTTGTTAAAGGCCCAGTAGGGATCACTTTACACAGGGAAAAAGCTTTGCTAGAAGAGATGGGGTTTTCCACCTGCTGCTGCTGGGCTGTCAGCCGGGCCGCGGGTTTGGCAACGAGGCAGAGGCATTGTGAGTTAAGTGGAGACGTGGGATTCTCTCTGGCAGGCCCACCTCTGGCTAGGAGCCAGGGCGGTCTTGCCCGGGTGTGGCCAGGGTCACACACACATCGGTGAGTGATGGTGGTTTGCCCTGCCCAGAAGGGAACCCCAGCTGCAGGGGACAGTGCAGGACAGACCTGCCTGCCACGGTGGACAAAGCGGCCCTGGTGGCCTGGGGTGGGGGATCCAGGCCCTGAGCAACCCCCAGGGCTGAGATGTACTCACGGTTCCTGTGGCTCCTGCAGGTAAAGCCCTGGGGACAGAACAGTGAGAGGGGTGAGTGACTGAGGGCACCCCCTTCCCAGCCCGTCCTGTTCCTGCCCTGTCCCTCACTCCTGGGGGTCCTGGGCTGCCCTCAATCCCGGCTCCTCCTCAGTGTCAGGGGCCTGGCCCAAGGCTGGCATGTGGCGGTCACTTAGTAAACAGTGTGGTCTGAATCTCTGTGGACCCTCAGGCCCCAGGTCCCCCAACCACTTGTGCGTTTGTTAAGTGGACACTAGCAGAGCACCTACTATGTGCCAGGCTTGCTTGGGAGAGCACCTACTATGCGCCAGGCTTGCTTAGGTGCTGGGACTCATGAACAGAGGAAAACTGAACCATCCCTGCCTCTCCAGGAGCTCACATTCCGAGAAGGGGGAAACAGAACAATTTGAAACCTGGGAAATCAGCAACTTATATTTTATGCAACTAAAATAAAGAGGTGGGAAAATAACAGAGGGAGCAAGAGGAGCAAGAGGGGTCCGGAGAGTGTGGGGGGTTCAGGTTATAAATCCAAGGGGTGCTTGAGGGGCCTCGTAGAGGTCAATTTCATGGACTTGGAAGGAAGTGAGGCTGAGCTGGTGGGGGGGGGGGGCGGAGGCGTGCAGTGCGGTGAACAGGCCCTGGATGGTCCAGGTCCAAGCTGCACTCCTGATTTGTTATCATCCCCAGCCCAACCTGACCAAGGGTGCCCAAAGAGGGGCACGAGGACTTGTGGCCAGGTTCCTGGGGGCAGAAGGGTCCTGTGGGACAGGCTGCTCCCAGACAGGCCGTGGGTGAGGCAGGAGGTGCCCGGCACTCCAGCGCTAAAGGCGTGGGAGCTGAGGGAGCACAGGGTGGCACTGGCACCCTCAAAGCAGGGCAGGACCCCCAGAGTCCAGGCCCCCTGGGGCGGCCACTGAGCTGGGGCGCTGGACTGTGCATCCCGTGGTCAACACAGCCACTCCATTCTTGAAAAAAGCTGACCCTCTACCGACGGGATGGGGAAGCCCAGGCTGTCCAGGTTGGGGTGGGGGTGGGGGGAGCTCCAGATGGAGACCTGGACTTCTGCTCCTAGCCCAGGTGGAGCATGGAAAAATAAAACTCGGCCCACTTCTGTTCCTTGAACTGTGGAGCAGGTATTACCAGTGGCTACACCTCTTTCTAAATATTTTTTATTTTGGAATACGTTTAGATTTACAGAGAGTTTACCCAGGATTCCCTCATCTCAACAGTTTCCAGGGCATTTGCAAAACCTGGGGAGCCACATGGGCGGGTGGCAGTGAGTGACACTCAGTCTAGTGTGGAATCGGGGCAGTGAGTGACAGTCTAGCGTGGAATTGGCGGCAGTGAGTGACACTCAGTCTAGTGTGGAATCCGAGGCAGTGAGTGACACTCAGTCTAGTGTGGAATCGGCGGCAGTGAGTGACACTCAGTCTAGTGTGGAATCGGGGCAGTGAGTGACACTCAGTCTAGTGTGGAATCGGGGCAGTGAGTGACACTCAGTCTAGTGTGGAATCTGAGGCAGTGAGTGACACTCAGTCTAGTGTGGAATCGGCGGCAGTGAGTGACACTCAGTCTAGTGCGTGCTCCTAGTGAGCTGTTTTCTGTTCCAGGGTCCAGGCCAGGACCCCACCCTGCAGATGGCCTCCGAGTCTTCGTTCTCACCCCACTGTCTCCACCCATTTGCCGACCACCCCAGTAAGTCCCCAGAGACTGCCATGCGTGACCCTCGTCCGCCGTGGCCACGAGACGCGCTGCCCTTGGGCGGAGTGCAGGCTGGACTCAGCGTCCTGATGGAAACCCCGGCCTCGGCCCCTGGTGGGGAGCAGGGCCTCAAACGAGGGGCTGGCGGAGCTGACCCCAGGCTGCTGAGGGCTCTGCGCAGGCAAAAGGGGCCAGGCTCACCTGGGGCAGCCTCCGGGGAACATGATCCGAGCAGGCCTCAGGTGGGCAGGCGATGGCAGCCCAGACCGGCCCGGGGAACAAAGGGAGCGGCGGAGGCAGCGCTGGGAGGCCCAGTGAGGCCACCCGTGCGGAACTGCAGGGGGGCAGTGGCGTGGGTCCCCGGCCCTCCCTGCCTCCCACCAGGTGCCCTGAAGCCCCTCTGGGCGCCCACGGTGGCCTGGACTCCCCGCCTCCAACTCCAGGAGAGAAAGAATCCCTGGGGGCTTGGAGGCCCGGGTGGGCTGGAGATGCGAGGGGCGTCCGCTCTTTCTCCTGACTTCCTGGACTCTGAAGCCCACCCAGGGCTGGCCCGGGGCCGAGGGTCTGGGGCTGCAGGAGAGGCCGCTGCCGGGGCGCAGGACTTCGCACGGCTCTGCCCCGCCCCGCCCCGCCCCTCCCCGCCCCTCCCCTCCCCTCCCCCGCGGGCCACGGGAAGCGGGACCTGGCGAGCTGCGGGGAAGGTGGGGGGAGCTGGGGGGGAGGCCTGAGCCTGGGCCCTGGGCGCCTCCCCCACACGGGGTTTTCCGTCGTGCTTCTCGGGGCTTCCCAGCGGCCGGCGTTGGGGGCGGTCTGTAGGGAACCCCCGGGTCAGCTGCTCGCGGCCCCAGCCGGCTCAAACTCCCCTGCATCGGGCCCAGCCTCCCGCTGTCACCTGCCCGGGTTCCCCCCGGGCGCGGCTTTAGCCCCGGCCTCCCCTACCTGGTTTCCCCCGCCCCGCAAGCAGGGGCTCCCGCGCCCCCTCGCATCCACCTCCCTGTCCAAGGCTGCCCAGGCAGCGCCCCTACACCCACCTCCAGCTTCCCGCTCCTCCTCTCACCCCTCGACCCCTCCTGCTCCTGCTCGGCCCTCCCCACCCCATCTTCCATGAGACCCTCCCTCAGCCCCGCCAAACCCCTGCTCTCCCCTCCCCTCCAGCACTTCCCCTCCTTCCTCGCCTCTTCCACCCGCCTCAGCCCCTGCCCTTGCCCCTGCCCCTTTCCTTGGAGTACCAAGGGCTCGTCTTGGTCCCCACACATTCCCCAGGATCACCTGCCCGTCCCAGCGTAGACAGCCCCATCACCCCTCCGACCGGGAGGCTGCCTGCACACTCCGAAGCCGCCTCAGCAAAGCTTTCCAGCTTGCATTTCAAGGCCGCCTTTCCCCAGGTCTCCCAACTCAGGGACCATTTCTTCCCAGGCAAAAGTTGACTCTGAGGTCTCATCTCTCACTTCTCCTTCCCCCTCCCAGCCAGAATCCCCAGGCCTGCCCCTCCCTGTTTTGCATCTCCCCTGCAGGGTGGGATCCGGTGGACTCCCCTCCCACCTGAACCCCTCCATCTCCCCTGCTCCCACTGGTTCCCACACATCCCAGCCTGCTTTCTTCCTTGTTCCACGAATGCCCCGTGGATCTGAGCCTGCCCACGGCTCCCAGCACTCCAACCTCCGTACCCACGGCTCCCCTCCCTGATCTGAGCCCTCTGCTGGACCCATCTCAGGCCCTGCGGAGCTGCCGGGTGTCCCACAAGTGTCCCCTGAGGTGACCAGGGCACCGCCCTAAAGACACATCTTGCTCTCTGCTGTCCCCATGCCAGGAACGGTGCAACCAGCAGGTCCTCAGCGAGTCCTCCCTTTCTGGGACACCTTCCGTGCTCTTTCCATGCCTGTGTCCCCACTGTGCCTCGGCCAGCCTTGGGCACCGGCGCCCCTTCCTGGGACGTGGGGTACACTTCTTGCTGCAGGTGCTGATGAGGCGCCCTCTCCTATAAGGCTGAGTCAGCGAGCCCTGCAGCAAGATCTCACCGCCGCCCCCCTTCCCCCTGCCCCCGGCCCTAGGCTCCCAACCCAGACACCTCCACTGCCAACACCTCACTCTCAGCACATTCCCTGAGTGTTTCCTTGGCAGGTGTCTACACAAGCCCAGGTGCTGCGGTTCCGACGGCTCAGAGCAGCCACAGTGGGTGGGGTGGGAGCCCCAGGGATTGGGGTGGGAGCCCTGGATGGGCTTGCAGGCTGCCCTAGATTCTAACACAGCCTCCTTGGAGGTCACAGGTGGGTCCGAGGTGGGCTCACCCTGCCTTGAGCTTCCAGCAAACACTTCCTGAAGCAGCTCAGAAGGGTCAGGCCGGGTCTCCCAGCCTCCTTTCACCAGCGCTGCCTTTGGGCCCCCCGGCCCCCCAGCCCCTGCAACCCCTTCCCTGTTGATGTGCTGAGAGCATCAGGCCAGACCCACCTGAGGAGAAACCAGGGCCTTATCTGCCACAGTGTAGGGGCCTAGGAGGAGGCAGGAGCTTACCTGAGAACAGGAGAGGCCACATTCTGTAATCCGGGGGATGGCCAGGCTCTGGAAAATGCCCCAGGTCAGGCCCAGGAACGCGAGTGCTTGCCCAGCCAGCATCTGGCTGTGCAGTGACAGCTCCCACTGGTGAGCGTGGATGTGAGTGGGGCAAGTTTGCAGGGCGCCCTGTGGCAGCGGCTCCAGGCTGACCCTGCAGCTCCAGCCCCAAAGACAAACAGAGGAGTGGAGGCTGCTCCTCACAGCACAGCGAGCGGGACACTCCCCCTCCCGGCAAAACAGGGCTCGCTTCACAGACAGCAGCCCAGACTTTCCACCGTCTGGGGCCGAGAGACTGTGGCCAGACACTGGTGGAGTTTCTAGGTTTCCAAAGGAAGCATCCAGAAACCTTGGGGCCTTTGGGGTCCGAGGACGCCCTAATGGGGTTCCCCACAGGGCGGCCACTGGAGCAGAGATGGCTCCAGGCCAGTGGGATAGGCTGCCACCTGTGTGCACTCCCCTCAGGCGTGCGTGAGGCCAGGATGGTAGACAAGGGCCCTGGAGAGCTGGCTGGGCTGGCAGAGGGGCAGAATCTGTCTTGGGCACTCACCCCAGAGCCCCTGGCTTCAGCTCCAGCCCCTAAGGGAGAGCCCTCTCCTGGGACCTGAGACTCCACCCAAGTCCCTGGCCTCCACCTCCCCTCAAGATACAAAAGGCCACTTCCCCTGTGCGGTCCTCATTGTGAGGTCCCCCATTCCAGAGAGCAGCCCCTGAGGCTGGGAAGTCTGGGGCCCAGCTTCTGCTCAGGGAGCTGTTCCGTGTCCTCTTCTTATTTGGAGCATCAAATGCATAGGAAAGTTTCTGGGCAGAAGCTTACTGCTTCCCATTTGCCTCCAGCCAGGGCAGGGGGTTGGAGAGAACCAGGGTGTCGTTCTGGGCTCCTCCTGGCTCCTCCCTTCCTGGACAGGCCCAGAGTCCCTGTGCCCAGCCCAACCTCTATGCTGCGGCCAGGCAGCACAGAGGCTTCTGCACCTGCCTCTGGTTCTGGGAGGGCACTGCCCCATGTGTGTGCATGTGTGTGTGTGTGTGTGTGTGGTTGGGGGATGCAGGGAGTCAATAGCTGGGGAGCCTGGGAGTGTCTCGCCGGGATGTTCTGCCTGGAATACCCACAGGACTCCCCAGGTGTGGAGGGCGGCACCACCCGCAGGCTGGGAGAGGCCGTGGGCCTCACACTGTGGGCTCTGGTAGTCAGGAGGGAGCTTGGGAAGCAAGCTCCGGGGCTCGGTCCCAGGGGAGGGAAGGAGGCCGGGACCTGCTGTGACCGTGAAGTCCTCCCTCCCTCCCGCCAACCCCACTGCCCACCTCCCTGTATCCTGGGCCAGCACCTCGACCCTGCCCCCACCTGGCCTAGAGCCCTCCATGGGCTGGAACTTATGCGGTCACTGCTGGGCAGAGTAAATGGGGCTGAGCCCGCCCCCTGCAGCAGCGTGCCTGTGGCCACAGCGCCCCGGAGAGAGTGGCCAGTGCCAGCCTCTATGCCACAGCGTGGTCAGCAGCAGGCAGGCAGGTTTGGGGGCAGCCCAGGACGGGCCGCTGTCATCCCCCATCCCAGGCCGGCTGGGGTATAAGATGGATACTCCAGTTGGGCCTCGCCCCTCAGCCTGGCCTCCAGCCCTCCTTATACCAGGGGACGATGGGAGCTGCTGTACTGTGGCAGGGGTGTCCCAGACGATGTCCATGGGCACGACCAGCAGGATCGTTGGGAAAGGACAAATGTCCCTCCCCCGTGGGCCCACTCACACCCAAACCTCTCTCCAGGCCTCTCTGGGACAGGCCCCCACCATGACACACCCATCGCCTGAAGGCACCATCCCAGCATGCCATGATGCAGGCAGGGGCTGCAGGTGGCCAGTAGTCGGTGACCTCCTGTGGGGACGGCCCACGGGATGTGGCTGGCGCTGGTCCCAAGGCCCAGGGAAGGACAGTGGGGCCAGCCTCTGCCCTCTGCCCCAGGCCCACGGCCACCCTCTCCAGCCTGCGGTCAGGGGGCTCCCGCCCTGTCTCTGAGGGCTGGGGGAGTGGCCCTGCTCAGTATCCATGAAGAGCCACGCCACGGGCTCCTGGGCAGGCCCCAGCCACCAAGATCACCCCCCGCAGCTGGACGAGGCCTGGGGTGGGGATGGGGTCCTTGCCAGTCTAGGTCCCCAGGGCAGCACGGCCACATGGCCCACTGACCATCCGTGCGCCCGGAAGCCCAAGGGCGAAGGGCTCTGAGGGTCCAACCCCGAGGGCTCCCTCCGCTCCCGCGCTGGGCACCAGGTGGGAGGAAACGGGGTGCAGAGACCCTGGGCGGCGCCGAGACTCGTCGGACGAACGCGGGAAGGAACGAACCAGCGTCTGCCTGGGATCCGGGCTGGAGCCTTCGCCAGAGGGCCCCGAGGGGCCGGAGCGGGCGCGGGGGTGCTGGGCGCGGGGCTCCCAAGAAAAACACGGCGAGGACGCGGGTTCTCCACAACAGCGCTGTGTTCTCGGCCTCAGCTCCGCGCAGGTTTCCACAAAGACGCGCGTGGCTCCGAGTCGTTGTCCTGGTCCCCGCGCCGGTCCGGACTCACGGGGTCCGCGGGCTGCAGCTCCGCCCGCCGAGCGGCACGAAGGATGCGCCCTGCAGGACCGCGGCGCGGAACGAGCGGCAGCGCTTGCAGGGCCAGGCGGGCGGCAGCAGCCCGCGGCACACGAGGCAGGGCAGCCCTCCGGGGTCCCTCGGCAGCCCTGGGGAGGGAGGGGCGCTGAGACTGCGTGCGCCGGCCCCACATCCCCCCGGCCGCGCCTCCCTCCAGCCCGACAGCACCCGCAGCGCCTACCTCCACCAGCGTCCCCAGGCCCCGCACCCCCACCACCTCTCCTCCAGTCCCCTGACCGTCCCACACGCCCCGTGTACCCTGGACTGCGTCCACAGACCCCTCAAACCTCGCCCCTGTGCTCTCCTACCCCAGCCCATCCCCGACTGCGCCCCAGGCCCCCTGATTGCGCCTAGCGCTCCTTGACCTCGTCCCCACGACCCCAGACCGCGCCCACCCCTCCCTCAATCCACACCCACCAACAGGCGACGCCCACGCCCCTCAAGGCCACGCCCCCCTGCAGGCCCCCCAGGGCCACCCTCATCACCTGCAAGACCAGCCCAGGCGGAGAGTTCAGCCCCAGGTGGCTCCCAACTCGCTCCTGCATGGAGCGCACATGCTTCGCCCAGCTTTCGGATAACCAAGACCTCCACTCAAACGCGGGCCGGGGGCGGGAGTGGGGAGTCATGCCTCCGGGATGAAGGCTCTGCGGATGGATGGTCCCCTTCTCCACACCCCTCACCCTCTGTAACACCCCTCTGCCCGGGCCCCCACCCCAGAGGGGCAGTCCAGCTCTGCCTCCAGCTCATCAGCCTCTTCCAGGCGAGTCCTGCCTAGAAGGACCCAACCCACCAGGGCATTTGGAGAAGATCAGCCCCCACCCCAACTCCTCCTGCTCTGCTGTGCCTGGGCTCGGGCTCAGATGCCTGGTGCTGAGGACCTGTCCCCACTGGGCCGGGACCAAGTGGGTGGTGGGCACAGGGCGATGCCTGCAGACAAGGGTCAGCAGCATGCTGGGCCAGCCCCAGAGTCCCAGGATGGGTCAGCGGCTGGAGGGCTCAGGAGGGAGGTGGGAGTGTTAAGACTAGGGGTGCTCCAGGAGCCACCAAGCCCTGTCCCCATGAGAGGCTGCACCAGGTGCAGGCCATCTGGTCACGCTGGCACCTTCGAAGTGGACCTGGGCTGGGGCTCCCAGTGGAGCTAGAAGACCTTCTGCCCACAACCTGTGGTCAGACCTCACCAGGGCCCATGGGCTGTTCTGATGCCAGGAGCTGCTGGAGGGAGCACGCCCCAGGCCAGCCATCCCATGTGGTGCCCGTGGTCTGGCAGGTGGCTGCAGTCCGTGCCCCCTCCTTCATGGACTCAGAGGTGGCAGCCATGATGGGCGAGAGCAGGTAGGTGCTGTCCACTGCGGGGCTGGCCATTCAGCGAGGCCACCCCCTGCATGGGAGCTGCTGCTTTTCAAGGACTTTCACACAGTTCCTTGGAGCATCACAGGACAGGCAAGGCTGGCAGGTGTGACCACCACGCGTCCCTTTCACCTGAGAGGCTGGGGCCTTGGCCTGGCTCTCACTCGCCTCCAGCCGCTGCCCTTGCCCTGGGGCTGTCCCATGGCTCTGGCCAGCCCTTCTCAGTGGGGTGAGCCGGTGCCAAGCCCCGTCCCCCATGTACTGGGGCCGGTGAGTCCAACTTCAGGTTTCCCAGGCCAGGAAGGGCTAGGGTGAGGCCAGCCTGCATGTTTGCTACAGCTATAGCTGGTGGGGGAGGGAGAGAAGGAGTCTCAGGATGGGGTAGGGATGTGGGGTGAAGGGGGGACTCCCTGGTTTTCCCAGCCTCTGGTGCTAAAGGTTCCCAAGCAGCCACAGCCCAGCTCAGAAGTGCAGGCACCACCCTGCTGGGGCACCCACCGCCAACAGCAAACTCCGAGCCCCAGGCTGAGTCACTCTTCCTGGGGGTCTGGGTGGGGAGAGCCCCCAGTGCCTATACAAAGCAGTCCTTGGCTTCCGGGAACCTCGGAAGGGCTGGGCCAGCCTGGCTCACGGGACAGGCCAGGACCCGCGTGGCACAAGCAGGTCATGAGCCGCAGGAAGAATGAGGTGGGAGCAGCTCCCACTCCCTGGGGCTGTCATCCCAGCAGAGAGACGCAGAGAGGCCAGGCACAGGATTGGGAGGTCAAGTCTGCAAGGGTAGCCCAGTACAGCAGGCCAGGCAGCACTGTGGGACAGGGCCTTGTCCCCCAGGCACCCAGGGCCTGATGGGAGCCACCGGGGTGCCCAGAAAGTGTGTGTCCAGTGAGTCGGGGTGGAGGCTGGGCCCGCCCTAAGCCAAGGAAGAGGGGACGTGGTGTCTGCAGCTCTCCGTGTGTCTGTGCGTGATTAATGGAGCGTGCATGAGCTAGCCGAGAGCTGGTGTGGGGCCTGGACCCTGCTGAGGGAGGGGAGGCCCAAGGCCTGGGCCCCAACCCTGTATGGAGGCCGGGGCTGGGGTGAGACTCACTGCGGGGCGTCAGCAGGCTCTGGGGAGCCACTAAAGCTCATGGGGTACACTCAGTACCTGGGAGTCAGTCTGGGACCCAGACCAGCCCTTCCAGGGAAAACCACCAAATAGGGGCATAAGATTGGAAAAGCATCACAAAAGCAAGCAAAAGCAGCAGGCAACCAGGTAAGGGAGGACCAGGTCCAGGCCAGGGAAGGTGAGTGAGCCAAGGAGAGGGTGCTCTGAAAGGTACCCGGCCCCGAAGCTCCTCACTCTGAGGCTTCACCACCAGGGCCACCTGGAGCTCTGGGTCCCCAGGCCCTGGAGTGTGGTGACAGAAGGCACCCCATGCCCCCAACAATGTGGCAGCCCCAAACAGTTGGGTGCTGGGTGAATCAAAAACAGCTGGGCGTGGTGCACACCTGTGGTCCCAGCTACTCAGGAGGCTGAAGTGGGAGGATCGCTTAAGTCCAAGAGTTGGAGGCTGCAGTTGGAGGCTGTGACTGCACGACTGTACTCCAGCCTGGGTGACAGTTGGAGGCTGTGACTGCACCACTGCACTCCAGCCTGGGTGACAGAGTGAGATCCTGTCTCAAAAAAAAAAAAAAAAAGAAAGAAAGAAAAAGTAAAAAGGTCAAATAATTTTATTAAAAAGTAGAACTTCTAAAAATGAAAACTTTAAGAAATGAAAACTGGAATGGGTTGATAGCATCCTTAAATGAGCTGGAAGACGGGTGAGGGACATTTTTAGAATGCAGCATAGGCAGCTAAATAAATCAAACAAATAAGTGGGAGATTAAAAGATACCAGGAGAGAGAGAAGGCTTAGCAAACATTTAGTTTGTGTTTCAAAGGCAAGGAGACAGAACGGGGTGCAGGCAACATTTAACGACATAATGGCTGAGAGAGTCCATAACTGAATAATGACACCAGTGCACACATCAAAGACATTCAAATTCCAGATCGAATAAGTAAAAATCAAACTGAACACTCAGACATCGTATTAAAACAGTCTTAAAAGCTGGCAGGTAGAACCGACAGCTCCCCTTGGAGAGTGATGGCTGACTCTGCCGACTTTCCAAGAGCCACAGCAAAAACAAGACAGTGGAAAGACATATTCAGTGTTCGGTGGGAGAGTGGCTGCGACCTGGACTCCTGCCGCGGAGAATCTGACTCTGCCATGAACCTGTGTGGAAAAGATATTGACAGACCAAAAACT